GGATGCTGCGTCGGTATCACTATCACAGTCATCAACTTTGACTTTCAACGGTAGTTTCTTAATTATCGTATTTAGAAGTGTTTTTGCTTCTTCTACCGAAGTGCTAATATCCTAGCAGCACAACGTGCAAAGCCAGACACTTCCTGCGTTGCTGTACCTCTTATGTGCTGAGGGTGTTGGGCTAGTGCAGCAGTCACGGAACCAACTCTTACATTTGCTACACCGCATAACGGAGGCCACTGTGAAGTGGCACCACAAGCATTTTTAGGAAACCTTTGTCTCACCATGTAGCAGAAACTATGGAAATTCGCCCAGTAAAATTTCCTATCTCACTTTAACCAAATAATATTCCGACTAGAGAAAAAATACAACAACCTTTGATATGTGAACACAAAAAATGCCAAGAATTTAGCTTAACGTGAAAAGTCACTCCCCTTTTCAAACAGCGGGTTCACTTTTTTGTGGCAATTTATTTAGGTTCTTCACCAATTCTCGTAATACCTCGATGTTGTTTTATTCGATATATCCACTCCCATGACTTAGTTGAATTATCTGTCCGGTTCTTAACTAACTCCTTTTGAAGCTGACGATAAGCCATATGCAATCAGTCTCCTCCTCGCGAAGACAGAATCTGCCTTCATACCGGAACTTGCCAAACATTATTGCTGCTCAAAGCAGTGGACAGCGCAAGGTTACTTAAGTCAGTAAAAGTTATTAAAACGAATCAGTGCACAAGAATCCTTAGATGTTTAATAACCTCATGGCCTTTGCTGCTAATGCGGGTGAATTTTATTCCAAAGGGAAAGATAGAAATATTTCCTAAGTAACTTCCCTTTGCGTTTCAAGAAGACCGTCAACTGCACTAAGGATAAGCAATCTATAATTAATTATAATGGCATTCTGGCTGTTGGCGTATTTTAATTAACAATCCTTGCACAGGGATTTAAACCATGTCTCAGATATTACTGAACTGACGCTTCGGTTACAAATCATGTGTGAAATTTTCCTGATTTTGTAGTGAAACCCTTGAGTCTGGCAGTTCTGAACTGTCAGAAAAGCCCAACTTATTCATACTTGACTCATCACATGACATGTCAGTAACACACTACATGCACTTCTGCAAGCAGTACAAGTCTGTGTTCTCTCACCAGATTCACAACATTTGGAATAGCCAAAATGACAAGCACTCCATAAGCGTGATTGCACATGCGAGAAACACATTTCAGCACCACTGGATTTCAACTGCAGCATCAGATTTTATGTGCAAAGTCGATATTTGTACGGATTGTTGAACGGTTTACGATTTACAATACCACTGCCAATCCCAGGTAAAATTATGGCGGAGTAGGATTTAGATTAACTTCACAGTTGACTGTAGTCCCTTCAAGCGGTCAATCATTCCTTGACAATCTAAAAGACACAAAGAGCATTTTAAACAAAATCTACATTATTTCAAGTGTTATCGCCAGCGATTCGGCATTTACGATTTGCCTGGTGCGAAACTGACAGACGCAAAGACCAATCACCGATTATTCGGACTTGTTATATACCCACGAATACGAGACCAAGGAAGAACACGATAGCGTAGTCGGATGGAATAGTATATTTGGATGGTCGTGCCAAAATACCGATGCGTTCCAACTAACTGGCTAGAGAGTCGAATACGAGCAGCGCAACGTAACGCGATAGCGTGCTAAACGGCGAGGACGCCTGACCGGGTGCCTCCAGCTTAGCGAGTCCAGTTAAACTATCAGGGCCAGCATCAATGTCAAAAATCGTCAAACCCTAGGCTACTGATTTTTGGGAAGTGTATGACGCTACAGCTGCTTAATTAGATGACATGTGAAAAAACCAAAGTTACGTAAACTTACCAACTTGAAATCATCACAATGAGAGGTCTAATGTGTGACTTTTTTAGTTTTAATATCAAATGCGATTGATACTCATCCAAACTTCGATATAACTTTTCACACTTAAATCCACTGATGACTAAATAACACAGTTGTAATGCTCATAAAGTCAGGATTTGGTGCATATGATCTTCACTGTATGAAATGCACTATTATTATAACTTTCCAGGCTTAATGCGATTCATAAGTGCAATGCCTAAACGTGACACATCATTGTATTGTAATCCTGATTCACGGAATTCTCAGAAGTAGAAATAGATCGTCCAGAGACAAAAACTATGATTTCCTTTCTTTTGGAGGATTCTTTGCATTGTATAATTTCAGTGGGCTAGAAGAAGTAATAAAGTGTTTCAAAACAGTGCACTAATTGGAACAGTCAAAAGCCAAATTCAGCCTAAGTTTTCGTCTACATGACGAGTCATCCCGACAAAGTAACTACCTTCGTTACATTGGTCTTCGCATTCTTCTCTCTAGACATGTAAAGAATGCTTGAGACTTATAAGAAAATGAAATGCAGTCGTCAAGAATCAATTAACTGAAGCCGAGTGAAAATATAAGTGACTCATATGCTGTCATGATGGTTAAAATATCCCGCTCCATTAAATGTAAGAAAAAGCGTATACCAAAAGTCAGCGGCTTTTTCTCCGATGTTTTATTTCCTTTCAGCAATGAAGTTCAGTAGATTATTTTTCACTTACTCACAAAGGATCTCAAGAAAAGTTATTGATAGGTATCAACATAAGGAAAATATCTCAATAATAAGTGGTCAGATCATTGAGTATGAGGCTCCTTCGCAAAGGTCGGTAACTCGTATTGTATAAAGATTAAGATATTGTTGATAGGAGTGTACCTTGTGTTATCAAGGATATGCCAGCAAAGATCGAGAAAATTGACAGTAATTTTCGCACCATGAACGTCATATGTTTAGAAGTTGTTATACGTAACCTAAACCATCACAGATATCCAACATTGATTCATTGTGCTTGTTTGAGATCCATGAATGTTAGAACAAGAAAAAGCATAAACTGACTACATGATACAGATCGTATGTTTGCTGGATTTTGCCAAGAAACTAAGACGTATGGACTGAATGCCTAAGGGATCGAACAATGCAAGTATCACGATAATGTGGCGTGAATGCATAGCTATTTATCTTAAGCTAAGTTGTTAAGACTATCGAATATTGTTAAATTATCGAGAGTTAAATCGTTTATAAAGTGTTGAGGTGCTTAACCTTCATTAGTATTTTCAACCCTCTGCACAGAAACCCGAATGTTGAGTATGGGGCACAACCATTTTCCTCTGCTTTTAGTAGCCAATGAAGTGTAAAAGTCATTTGATTTCACCATTGCTGTTTAACCTTGCTAAGCGTAAGCTAAATAACAGAATAATAAAATGCTGTGAAACTCATTCTAAGCGACTAACCAGAAGGAAAACCTTACGACCTGTATATCTATACACTTGTATGAATGGTCGTAGTGAAGTCCCATAGCCTAACGATAGCTAGGGCAACACATTAGCCATAACTATTGATGAAGCGGTGTCGAGAGTTCGACTGTCTCCATCTGAAACTCATTCCATTATCCAATATATATTGTCATGAATATGTATAAAACAGTTGGTTTCGCAGCACTCATTTCTGCGTCTTGAAGAATGGTTATGATTCTTTGATAAGTTATGTAGTCGATAAAGCCACTTGCCTGCTGTAGCTCTGGTAATTCTGGGTGGTGGTTGAAGATTGGCTAAGCTTGCTGGGATATGTATGATTAGTCCTATGACTGGTGCAAATGGGACTTTCAAATGTCACATAGTTGAGCATTTGTTCGGAGTAGTTGTTAAAAATATGGGTAGATTCAGGAGATAAGCAAACTAAGCAAAAGAGGAGTGTATAGAGTGAGAGAAAAGACAAAAGGAAGGGAAAAAAATTATAAGCAAGAAAGCACATCGCACATGAAAGGCGAGCGAGACAAATATATTTTACACAGGAAAGAACAGTATGGAACAGATTACGGTGAATAGCGCATCACTGAAACAGGTTTCTAATGATGGGAAATAAACTTAAATATGGAATCGTAAGACCAAGACTCTTTGTTCTAAATCAAATTAAGAACTACTGCTACATAACCTGAGTAACTGAAACGTACACATGCAACTTCATATACATGCAAATAGAATCGTTTACATCTTGATCCGCTGCTCAGGAAATGTATTCCTGCTACATAGCACAATAGGGGGCTAAGAAATCCAATATGCAAAATATCACAACATCAGGCTAACGTTATAATGGTGTAGAGAAAAGGAAAGAGAAGTAAAAAATGGAAACTGACTGTCAAAGAAGACTTTTCAAGGGTAAACTCAAAAGGTGACTAGTTTCATTGCCCTACTTTCCAACAACAGAAGAAGCAAGAAACCTGCAACGTTTTTACCACTGGTTTGCGACCTGAGGTAACTCAGTCGCATGACCTCTAGGTACCCACGCAAAACGTTTTGAGGTGTCAACAGGTTTTAAACTAACGTAAATATACCTGATTCCACGGTGGCACTTTAAACACTGATCACCTTTCCATCCTTTTTCAACCAGTCTCGGGACTGATAAATAACAATCGGTGTTGAATAGACTGGAACAGTATTCGTAACACATCAGAGCCACTGCTACAAGATGCTTGCAAGAAGTAGTTCTTGATTTCTACAGAGTTGTAGAGGACCATCGTCATTATCCAACCTAAAACTAGTTAATCCTTATCAGACACTTATATGAGTTTCCTGTGCACCTAGACAGTCAAGTTACGCATTCGAATCCCCAGTTAGCACTACGTTATCTGTCAGACACAAGTGACAAAGGTCAGTTAATTGATGATGGAACTCATCATTAACTTCGTTCAGGCTGCAGCCAATCATAGCATAGAAAGATATGATAAAAAAAAACAAGATTTCTATTGACAATCTTTCTCGACTCTAATCAAACCTTCTGAATTCAAAGCACACAGACAACTATCCATTCTATTCTTACAGATTTAACGACCAAGCACAAGTTTTGCTCAACCTCTAACATCAACATTTTACCCCACTAAGTGCATATGAAATCCAACAGCGTTTGAAATTGGTGTAATCAGTGATATCTGGCTTACACAAATCCGAAGGTAAAAAAAAACAAACACATGAGATAGGTTAAATTACACATAAAGCTAACTTATCATAACCACGATATTCGTATTAAATACTTACATAGAATTGAGTATCATAAAAAGTGTACAGCATGACTGCATATAATAATAATAATCACCAGAAAAATTGTAAGGGTTAACAAGAATAGCAGGTGAACATATTCAACTGTAAAACTGGATCTTAACTCAGGAAAAGCTCCAGGGACTATATCAACTGGTTTTCACAGTTTATGTAGATAAAGTGAAATAATAAACTTGATTTAAAATGTTGAAGTTAATCAAAATAAGAAAATCTACTCCCAAAAATTATATTCAATATATATACATGCACAAATTTACAGACTATAATTAAAAACTAGCATTAGTTTACTGTTATTTAATTAATCAGTCAGTTTGTTTTTCACCTTACTTCCTTGATGATTTTGTTTCAACTGATAAAGTGAATCAGCGATAATAAACCTAAAGGAATAATTTTTGAGAATAATACTGATAGTGATGATATATGAGATAAAAAATTGAAATAATCTCAGTGATTTAAACAATTCACAATTTACTACAATAATTGTACAAAACAAAATCATTCAAACGTTGAATAAAATAAAACCAGCATAGCAATTATAGAAATAATTTGAGAATTAATATAAGAGTAAGGCATAAACACAGTGATATAATATTATTCCATTTTAGTTGACTTATCACACATTGGAACAGTATCGTTTACTGGATTACGTTTGCACATAATTTTTTATCCATAATCATATCAAAACAACTTTGAGACATCCTTTATATAGTCCCAATTTCCTCGCCTCCTTTGTCATATAGGTAGTAGGATTTTCTATATATCCGATACAGGTGCTGAGTTATTCCTGTTCTATATATTAGGTGTCGATTCGATAAACAAAGGTTCAAATGTCGAATTCCCCTCCACCCCTCTATGTTAGTTTTAAGGATTTTCACCCTGTCCCATTCTACTCTGTGGTGGTGTGTACTTGCATGCATAGCTATGGCTCAGTTTTTTTTCAGATCCTTTATCTGACTAAGATCTACCAGCCCTAACATAGCTAGGCTTTTGTTTTCAGATAGCCTAATTCACCCTGTTTGTAATCGTTGCAAGGGATTTGGTAAACTAAATTATTCTGCTCAATTGGATCAGTAAGATCTTTTTACCCACAGAGCTTATTTCTAAGTGAGTTTGTAGGTTTAAAACGCTACTCTAATCCCATCCTTAATGAGAATCCCACGTAATGTTTCTGAGGTTTGTATGATAATACTGTAGAAGTTTTGAATTCTCTCTTCACAGTATTGCCACTGTAACTATCACTACTGTCGACACCTTTGTTACAAATATTAGTCATATTTTTCTTATGATTCCTAAGGAACATATCAATTAATTTAGGAGAGTAATTGTTGATGAGTAAGATGTCCTTTATGTGTCTAGATTCTTGTCTTAGATTTTCTGTTTTACTAGCAAGTTTTATGACCCTGTTACCTAGACATTTTACCAAGCCAACTTTAACTGATATAGTGTAAGACGATGTAAAGTCTAAGTAACGATTTGACTGTGAAGGTAGTCACTAGGGTCTGAACTCCTATTTTGTTTCCGTTTTATTCTGCAAACCAGCATCGCTAATTTCCCTTCACTATTTTCTAATTCGTAAGTGAATTGAATTGTATTGACTACTGAATTTATGTGTGAAGAAACTATAAATGTGCTCCGATTTCAACACTGTAAACGTGTCGTCTACATATGAGAACCATATTTTTGCAGCCGGACTAAATATTCCCACAGTCATTCGTTCCCAAATCTTCATAAATATGTCAGTTACGATAGAGGATATTGGTGATCCCACGGCAACTCTTGTTCGTTGGTATGTTTTATTCTGAAACCTGAAGATTGAGAATTATTTCAAGAACAGATGTGGTATATTATCTCATAAAAATTCAAAAGTTTGATGAACTCTAACAACTGAACACTGTTATTTTTTCACCAGGTCACGACTAACAGAATTTAAACATGGAGTTAGTGCCGACAGTAACAGTACTCATTTTCACACAAATGCTTATCCTAATGCAACTAAATAACATAGAATGAGTAAAGTATTTGCAGAATAAGATGACATCATCTTATTTCACAGCATCTTCATGAGCTGGATACAACCTAAATATACTGGATGATGATTGAAGGTGAGATGAAAATTTGGACCGCAGCCGGATTCGAACCAGCGACCAACGGGTTTCCGGCCCTAAATAAACATATATTCAATATACAGATGCAAAGATTAAATGTAGTATCTCACAATATCAGTTTAAATGGTGAAGTGACAGGATGGGGAGACAACACAATACATGTCTCATGCATACCATTTCAGTCAAACTAGACATACATATACAAGAAAGAGATATAAATGATCTGCGAGGCGGTTACGTAATTATGTGAGACGTTATGTATACAGAACTGATAAAAGAGTGAAATATCATTACAATGGCAATTGCGAAACGAAAAAATCAACCTAATGATGAACGAGAGTCTGAGATTGAAGAGGTTTAGAGAAGAAGGTTAGTTCATATTTAAAGAGGTTTAAAATAGACAGTAGTTTCTTTTGAAGAAAGAAGTCACTCATTACTAATGTTGTAAAAAAAACTCTTCGGTCTCAAAATACCGTTCATCAGTAGGTTGATTGTTGTTGTTTCATGATATTTCACTCACTTATCAATTTTGTATATATAACGCCTCATAGATCATTTACACCCCTTTCTTGTAAATGTATGTCTAGTATGACTGAAATGGTATGCATGAGATATATTGTGTTGTCTCTCATTCTGTCATTTCAGCGTTTAAACTGATATTGTAAGAAATTACAGTCATGTTTACATTTGTATATTGAATATATATCTATTTAGGTTGTATCCAGCTAATGAAGATCCTGTGAAATAGGACGATGTTATCTTATTCTGCACATGCTGCGCTCATTGCATCATTCAAACTATACAAAAATAGGTACTACTTAGTGACTTCAAATCACTAGGCCAATATGGGGAAAAGAAACTCAAAAAAAAAGTTACCTAGTTGGTCATAAGTTGACAGTCTAGACCGATGATCGGCAGTTCTATCACCCTCCTACTTTATTCTAAATGATCAGGGCACTTTGATGCTCCACGTGACGCTGAATAGGACGGGTTATTTCTGTATAGAAGTTAAAAGACCTCTTTCACCAAGAATGCACTATCTTTGTGTAGTGGTAACACTTCTTTGCTGAGAAAAGGTGATTGCTTCTTTAACTACTGCATCAGTGAAGTAAATTAGAAATATTGACACATCATTGGCTGAAAGATGTAAATTTATAAAGAAATTCTACTACGAAGACATTAATTGGGCAGCCATCATATTTACCATGACGAGAGAAAACTGAATAAATGACTTCAGTTTTTGTTCTCAGTCCCTTTCTTCATCCCTTTTATGTCCATGTTTGTTTGCTGAAACTTTCATTATCTACACACTTTATCCTTTAGTACTATATAACTTTTATCTTTCAAAGTGTTGATCTAAAATGATAGTCTAAATGTCTACAGTACCATGCTGTCCCCATTACTCTTATCATCACAGAAATTGTTATTATTGTTATTATTATCATTATTATTGTTACTTATTATCTAGATGTCTACTACTTGCATGTTTTATTTCCTTGTTTCTACAGACCACAGAATTCACTATGATTGGTTCAATGTTTTATATATGAGAAAACTTATGTATACTTGCGTAAAGCCTGATGAAAGCCAATTGAAAACAATATTGTTCGCGTATATGTCTTCTTTTATTTTTGACAATAAGAATTTTTAACGTTCTTAAACCAAATATGTAAAAATCACTGAAGCTTATTTTAATTGGACAACGCTCGAGATTAAGACAGTAAAAGTCTAAAAGTGAACCATTTAATATGTATGGAGCGAGATTTCCACAGTCATTCTCCTAGGTTTCAAGTTGCCTCCCTTTCTCTCTCCCCCCCCCCCATGCACACACACTTTAACACTCCTGTGAATAATTGGACAAAATTAACAGTTGACCATTATATAACTTGATTTTGTAGGGGAATAGTTGTATTGACTTGACACCTAATAGAAAAAGACAACTAACAGTTGTATCGTAGAGATAAATCGACTAAACTATAATATATTTTTGAGATGTATGGGGATTTTTAACTTAAAAGTAGTATTCATCATGGACTGACATCAGTTGGGGAACCATTGAAAATCTGGGAGCACTGGACAACTGTTTCGTCCTAATAAGGGACCCCTTAGCAGTACGCACTCACCACCCGGCTGGGAATAGGACCCAAGACCTTCAGGTTTCATGGCGAACGCGTTAACCATCCAGCCACTGGGTCGGTTACCAGTGGTTCACAATTTCCAACTTCTGTCAATTCACGACATAGTGCGACTATCACCCAAGGTCTTCAGTTAGTATCCACTTCACTTCCGACAGGTTGACCCCACAGGTCACGGCTTCTCATTAGAACTTCCTGATATCCATCTGGAAGCAAGTCACTAATGAGCACTATACAGTAATGCATTTTTAAGATGAATGGGGATTTTTAATTTATAAGTAGTATTCATCATGGACTGACATCAGTTGGGGACCCATTGAAAATCTGGGAGCACTGGACAACTGTTTCATCCTGGAAACCGACCCAGTGGCTGAATGGTTAACGCGTTCGCCATGAAACCTGAAGGTCTTGAGTTCGATCCCTAGCCGGGTGGTGGGTGCGTACTGTTCAGGAGTCCCATACTAGGACGAAACAGCTGTCCAGTGCTCCCAGATTTTCAGTGGTTCCCCAACTGATGTCAGTCCATGATGAATACTACTTCTAAACTATAATAACTTTCGAAAATCATCTATTGTGATCGATTGTCCCTTTTTGGTAATTACGATTTAGTGGGGATCTTCTCTTCATTTATAACGGTGATATACTTTCTTGTGATGCATTTCTTCAGGCTTTTCCGTTTCATACTGCTATATTTTTACGTCAAAAATTTACTTTCATTAATGTGAAAAACAAACTAAAAAGCTTTTCAGTAACATAACAATGAACCTGGTCACATGAGTCTAGTAAGTACAGGTTTTCAGAGTAGAAGACAATTTTGAAACATAGTTAGTCCCTTTTATGAATTTCGATAGCGTAATTAGAAGATGAAGTTTATCTGAGCAATGTGATGTATTTGAGCAATACATTTCGAACAATCGGATCACACATTTACTTGTCAATTCTATATATATATATATATATATATATATATATATATATATATATATATATATATATATATATATATATATATATATATATATATATATATATATGATCAGATTGTTCGAGATGTATTGCGCAAATACATCACATGTTGTTCAGATAAACTTCGTCTTTTAATTACGCTAAAGAAGATAAGTGTAATTTTTTTTCCATGCAAAGTATCTTTACCGGGACATGAACAGAACAAGGAGAAGAAAAAACCTAGAAAACAATAATTGATTGTCAACAATCAACACTGTAAAGATGTGGTTTACTACTTCACCTCATACACTTGATTTTTTAAGCAATGGATGATGGATTCAAATCCAGTTTAAGCTACTTTAACCTGCGTAACTGAACAGTATCATAAGGCATTATATAATAACTGTGAATCATAGTCTAGGTTATGAAACTGAACAATGTTGATTTGTACTAATTAGTTTAACTAACACTAACTCTCAGAATACTAAAGAATTAACTAAATAATACTTCACCTCTTGATCATTGTTCATATTACTACTGTCGAATGATCAGAATTTAATAAGAATTACATTTTTAAAATAAAATATTGAATAATTCACTAATTAATACATTTTACTTACTTGTACCATGGAATAATTACAAGTATAGATGAAGCATGCCATAAAGCATGTGAATCTAATATCCAACCAATCGGTACAAAATCCAACAATTCCAACAACATGAACAATGAAAGCGATGTAACTGATAACCAACAGTAAACAATGTATGGTTGCTTTTTATAATCACATAGGTAAATGGAGAAGAATAACCAACCGAAACAATTGATCAAACCTATTTAATTTTGGAGTAAATCAAAAAAACACAATTATTATTATTATTATTTGTCCCTTGGGTTAGTAGTAGAATATAAGGTTTCAGTGGCACTTCTTCATTTCACTCTCTTCTCTCCAGTCTCTTCAACCTCACTCCACAACTACCCACAAGCTTTCATTTCTTCTTCACACGATCTCATCCATGTCACCCTCAAATAGGACGCCCAACTCATCGTCTCCCCTTTGCGTTCCACTCGACGACCTGGCACGTGATATCCCCAATCGGTTTCAGTGTATGCTCAATCCATCTCCACTTTCTTCTTCTGCATATTTCTTGGGTGATGGGTTCTTGATTGATTCACTCCTACCCACAGTTCCTCGTTTCTCATTCTTATTATTCTTATCATCTGATCTTCAGTAACGAGCTAGCGTAGGCAGTTGTTGATGAATGTCTGTAGTTTATTGGAAATCCCTTTCGTAACACGCCGTCTCTGAGCCATACAGAAGCACTGACTTGACTGATATTGGTGTTGAAAATTCGGATCTTGTTCCACATGCTGAGTGCAGAAGATCTCCACACTGGTTTCAGGCTAATGAACGCCTGTCTCGCTGTCTTTCTGATCCTGGCTTTGACATCCTCATTTGTCCCGTCACCGGTAGTTGAAACGATGCTGCCGAGGTAGGTCAAAGAGGCTACTTCCTTTAAGTTTCTCCCATTGATGGAGATTGTTGTTGTTGGTTTTGTATCTTCATCACCTCTATCTCCTCTACGTTCACTTCAAGTCCCGTCTTCGCTGCCCTGCCCTGCCTCTTCTGTCAACTTGTTGGATTTTGCCTGTAGATCTTCGAGTTTGTGCAACATTAGGCATAAATCATCATCGGTGAAATACAAATCTTCTAGGTTCTTTTCCCCGGTCCAGGGTATCCCCCTCCTCTCGCTCCTCACTGTTTGTTGCATGGTCCAGTCCACTACAATCAGAAATATCATGGGTGATAGTAGACAGCCTTGTTTTTACTCCTTCTTGTCTTCACTTCAAAAGCATCACTGGGCTTCCCATTGTGAATTACTTGGCATCTGGTGTCTTCATATAGTTGTTGAATGAGATTGATAAAGGTTTGTGGTATTCCATAGTGTTGAAGCAGTTGCCAAATCACTTCTCGGTCGACGCTGTCAAAGGCGTTGCATTAACACATTACAAAATAAGAATCTAATAAACACAAAAAGACTCTATGAAAATGAAGATACCACCTAACGGCATTCTTTGCAACATGGGGTTATTACAATAACAAGTGTGAATTTCTGTTGGGCAGTGAATTTACAGTACACCAACGTGTCAACTCTTATACAATCCAGTGAATAGTTATTTTCAAATAATGAATAATCCCATTAGGTAACCCAAACTTAATTAGGTGTTAAAGAATCATTTCGTTCATTAAAACCAACCAGAATGCAGCCAGTGATGTTTCCTTTTGTATCCGTCTTTTTAAAAAAAAGTAGTTGCTCACTGACTCATTTAATATGAAACTATTTACTAGTTTACTCAACTTTCTTCCAGTGGCTAACTGGAAATCCTTACCTTATCTTCTTCTGTTGAGCAACACATTAAAAACATCAAAGAGTAGAACTCCAGAATTTAGCATTAAAACTGAATTAAACTTTTCTAATAAGTTCAACATTATGAATGTTTAATCTAAAATCAATTCTGAAACTGTGAAGAAACCAGACGACAATAGTAGATCACTTAATATATTCAGTACAATTTTATAGTTTTACAGGGTTCAAATCATATACTGTAGGATGACTATTGCAGTCATCCAATCTTTAAAAGTTACTAAAAGAGTGAACTCTTCTTATAATGATGATAATAGTAGGTAAACAGAATACTTCATCATTTTCAACATAGGTAGGTAAAGTCGAAGTCAAAACGGTTTCAATAGTCAAATATGTATTAATGTTTCAATTAAATGAAGATGACAATCGAGTCACTCATTTCCTTGGTATAATAAATGACGTAACTTGTCGAACTATACAGACCAAAAATATTTTATGAAATCCAGCGACTCATATATATATATACGTAAATTCAGATGATTTGAACAGATGAGACGAAGTACGATTAGCTGCCTATTGGCAATTACTAATTAGTAAGCAGAAAAAGTGACTCTAACACCTACCTTCACCACCGATTTCAACTTTGTTATCTCTGCATTAACAATAGAACACAATCTGGATTGATTTGATTCATTATGATTATCATCACCTCTATCACTAAAACTATTCGTTTCTACTATATTCCGACAAGTCAATAAAATTTCGTTAGTACTATTCATCCTCATATACCAACCGAACTGACATACGTATCTACCTTATATGCCCTATTGTACTGATAAGATTAACGAATCACTATAATGTCAACTATGACTTTTTTGTCTCGTTTTTACAATGAAGAATAATGAATATAGCTTGAGGATTTTATTTTTAATTCTGTATTCACCACGAATGGACATTAGTTATAGAACCACTGGAAACCTGAGAGCAGTGGACAGCCATTTTGTCCTAGTATAGGAATCTTCAGCAGTACGAACTCACAACTCCACCAGGGGTCGAACTCAAGACCTTCATGACTTCACGATAAATGCATTAATCATTTAGTCACTGCGTCGAAGTTCAACGGTCCACAGTTTCCTACTTCTGTCAATTCGAGACATAGCGCGATTATCCACCAGAGTCTTCAATCAGCATCCGCTTAACTTTCGATTGGTTGACCTCATCAGTCACGGCTCCTCATTAGAATTTCGAGGTATCCATCTAGGAGCATGTCACTAATGAGTACTACTTAGTAATGCAATTTCAAGTTTATGGAGATTTCATTGTTAGGCTTGTATTCAACACCGACTGACATTCATAACAACATACATACACACATCATACAACAAGAGACACATAATTTCCCACGCAGTAATCCTATTTTAGAAGAACTATGACTATGCGGAAAGGATTGGACAATGCGAATGACTACACATCTTTGGATTCATTCATATATCTTTTGTATATTAGTTTTTGATTATTTCCCTGGAGAAGCTCGGATCAAACCTCCGTGCGAAACAAAATTATTTTATTTCAAACATACTGTGACACACAAGCATAAAGCATATCTAATGTCAACCTTTTAATCAGCACCCAATATTCTGCATACTATTCGGACAAATCTTGATCATAGTTTATAATTTATATTGCTATTAATTTGGTTCTACATTATTGATACAATCATAAGGTATGAAAACGAGCAATAAATTCTTACCAAAATGTCCTCCAGCAAATAATGCTTTATCACTTTGTGCTATATGTAATAAATCATTTTTTGTGGAATAACGTATTATCACAGTACCTAAATTTCACCCTCAAGTTCGAAGAGCCATTTGTTTCCATTAAATAAGCCTGGCTATTATTATTATTATTTGTCCCTTGGGTTAGTAGTAGAATATAAGGTTTCAGTGGCACTTCTTCATTTCAATCTCTTCTCTCCAGTCTCTTCAACCTCACTCCACAACTGCCAACAAGCTTTCATTTCTTCCTCACATGATCTCATCCATGTCACCCTCAAATCGGACGCCCAACTCATCATCTCCCCTTTGCGTTCCACTCGACGGCCTGGCGCGTGATGTCCCCAATCGGTTTCAGTGTATGCTCAATCTATCTCCACTTTCTCTTGCTGTCATGATCCTGGAGGAGATTGGTTCCCATTACCTGAGAGCCTTTGGTGTTCTTCACGATATCATGATACCCACTCCGAAACTCAGTGTGCTACCGCTCGACGTCTGGGTGACAATATCAAAGTAGATTATTAACTCTCCAGTTGACAGTTTAGAAAGTCCTCTTCCATTCAATCTGCTTTCGCAGATTCCTAGCACTTCTATCCTATACCTTCTCATCTACTTTACAATCTGGGCAACCTTGCTAGGTTCATACATCATGCAGACATTCCACGTCCCCATGTTTATTATCGCTTCCATTGAGAGAAGACACATCGGTCAACTGGTTTCCCGAAGGCCTTCACCAACTGACGTCATTTCGTCTCTTCTATTTCAGCAAGGAATAAGTTTGTTTGTATTTTTTATATTTTCCTTATGCTTTGAAGTTTCTTTAGCGATTGAACTGGTTAAGTTATAGTTTATTTTTCATCTACCTGAAAACTTGATAGTAAGTCCCCATGAGATTCAAGGTATAGGAATAACACTGCCAATAAGTTGGATGCTCGTTTCCCACTTGAATTTTAGTGAATGATTGCCTGTATGCGCTTTCGACGGGAACTTTGAAGGAGAAATACATGGTAGTCTTTTTTTAAATATTTTCATCTAAGTAGACTAGACGATGTAAATGATAAGTCCTATCGAAATCTTCCAAGCTTTAGGAAACTGGTAAAAAGTTTGAATGTTTCAGTCCTAGCTACAGATTATGATAAAGAAATAGTGGATTTCAGAAAAAGCAAGCTGTCAGCTGATTAACAAGATAGTAATGATCTCCTGCAATACGTTTACATATACAAAACCTGCCTTCAACAATCCACAACTGTGACTAGTAACCTAAACATTTCACTTGATGACGATCGAAAAAATTCCATGACTAGCAAAAAACGTCAAACTCCTACCAATGCGGAAATTTAACATGAATAAGCTGCTAGAAATATACATTTGATTATATCTAGATGAACAGATATATTCAAAAAGGATTGATACATCCCGGGCACGTGTTTAGATAGTGTGATAGATGATGGGAGGAAATGAAGATCTGACTAATATTAAACAGAAGGTTCCAAAGAACAAATTTAAACGCTGTTTGTTTGATGAGTGTATACTAACGTCGTAAAAATAATAGTAACTTTTACTTGGACTTGCTAAACTGAATATCTGGAAGCTGATTACAGTGCCAAGGTTGAATTTCCTTGTTATCAACTTACACAAAGTGCAATTTACTAGTAAAGTCTCAACCATCACCTCCATTGATTCTGTCAAACCTTTTTCGTAAGTCCTGTCCAAATTTGCTATGGTTTGCAATACCATACCAAATTCAACAACAGGTTGCTATCGTATATCAGTGGCCTAGTGGATAACGCTGTGGCGTTTGAAGCGATGTGTACGAGGCTCGAGTCCCAGTGGGAACAACATCACTCACTGGGGTGCAGGTACATCCGGCTGACAAGTCCAAAATAGGACGAAACGCGCGTCCTGGATTCTTCTGGTAGCCATAACCAAGTAAATTACGGTAATAAATATACAGGTAATATCGAGGCATTCACATAGGAGCCCATATGCCAATAATTGTCGAACAATTCGATCCAGCAAAACAACGGAGAATTACAAGTACATCAACGAAGAGTGACATACTAACTCCAGTCTATAAACTACTTTCTTGAATTTCTAACTTTAACATTTAATCGGTCAGTAAGATCAATATGAGAATGAAATATATAGACCATGACACAACGGTACACGTCTACATTAGCTTCAGTTTTATACTTCTCAAATAATGACAACTTTTTTTTATCAGTTTAATCCATTAGCTTAGAGTTCAGAAAAGTCAGTGTTTAGTTACCAACTCTACCGAAAAAAAGTGAACTAACAGTTTTGAAAGCCAAAATAAACATTCTAGCATATATATATATATATATATATATATATATATATATATATATATATATATATATAGTAAACTGAGGGATATTTTTCAAAAAGCAAAACATATACGCACCAACATATATTTCTACTACAAAAAACATACCAAATAAAACGTTGACTGTCATGTTGTATCCATAGTCAAAGCTGACAAAGGACATATAATTTACGTGGTTTGCAAAAAGTGCAACTAGAACAGCAGAAAACAGGATCGTTACAACTCGACTAGGATTAAAAATTCTCTGTTGCACAATCACAACTGAGGCAACCACAAATGCTAATGCACTAAAGTAATCCATTTTCTGTAGAACATGATTAATTTTACTAAGAATTAACTTACCTCAGTAAATGATGTATCCCTAGTGTGAAACACTGTCGACCAAACCCATGCATTCACAGAAAACTGAAATATAAAAGTTACGTTATAAAACTTACCAGAGTTTGTAGAACCCATGCTTTATACATAGGAGCATTGTATGGAACATGCTTGTAAAATCGATTAAACATAAAGCAAACGAACAAAAGGTTCAATAAAGAAAATATAGCAGACGCTGGTTCTTGTATACCCCAGAAACGTATAAATGGCCACTATAAAGAAGTTGTTTTGTACATATAGATAAAGGTAATTAACAAACCTTTCCATTGAACTGTGGAACAGGTAAGCCATCTCTTTTAAATGCAGAAACAGTATTCCACATACAACGATATTTACACTCAGAATTACAGTCCCAAAGAATTGTATGCTCAAAAATTACAGACTGTGAAGAGTTGAAGTGTTCATCCCAATACTCTGGTACTTGTGACAAAGAAGATTCACAAATTTCTTTGGAACATCTATGATTACATTTGTGAAACACATATGCCCGATCTCCCACAGAAGTGGTTGCAGTAGGTATGATGATTGATAAGACAAGAAAATATACTATGATTGCATCAAAATCCATCAGTCGTATGAAATTTTACATGAACTAGACAGTGTCTTCACTTTTTGTCGAGAAACCCTAAACACAAAAAAAGTGAGATTTTAACAACCAAAAATGCATTCAGCTCTTGAGTTTAATGTCTTCGATACGATTTAATCTTCAAATGGGAGAATTTGAAAAATGACTTTTTATATGATAGAAAAAGATATCTATTATTCAAGGGATGTTGGTGTGACGGCAGTGTTTATCATTATGTCTACAGGCACTTCACTAGATAGTTGTTTCGTGATTAGTACTGTCTGTAGTATTGCATTTTATCTTCCATTTTAGCAGACCGTGGTTTACTTTCACAGCATCGTATAACACCTGTTTGGTCTTCTACACGATACCATGTTATAAGAGCTTCGGTGAGTGATGCCTCGGAGTCAAAACGTACAGTTAGTAACCTTGGTGAAGAGTGGCCGTACTTTATTTGCAAGTCCGACTTAGTGCTAAGTAAAGGAGTGACTAGGGAAAGCATGACTCAGAAGAGATTTTGCTAAAGATAGTCGTCCGAAGTTTTGGAATAGCTGTGAAGGATGTTTATCTTCAAGATAACCAACTCTGAATACAATAAAAAAAAGTCCCCATTGAATTCTTGTCCCCATCGTATGACACTCCTTCTAAAAGTTCACAGATGATCGTCTCTTGCAGTGTATTGTAGCATCGTTGGTGACAACTGGCTTTAAGGTTCATATATATATAGTGCAGTAGATGTGATACCAGGTAGAAAACTGCGTAGCATAAATAGCTGTGTGAAAGCGGAATCTTCATATATTCCAGTTTATATAGACTTGATGACGATCGTAAATTGGCATCTCTCAAGTAAAACCCTTTTTATATGAGAATATGCGTTTATTATTATTATTATTATTATTATTATTATTGTTATTATTATTACAGAAGTTCAACCCATCAGGATAACAACTCCTTTTGTCAGCAACGTGCTTATTATTGGAGTTTACAGCGAGGTAGAAACTATATACGTACAGGAATCTGTCAATATTTATCTACCAAAGGTAAGAGTATGTCCACAATATAAACGTTGTCTGCAGAATTCAAGACCTAGAATTTTGTGCGTTGTATCTGAAACGTGGGCATTAGATACTCAGAATGCTTGGTTTGATTGGCCAGTGTTTTAAATCATCGTTTAGCCACACACTTTCATCAACAATGGTCTGTATATAACTTCATTGACCCCAAGGAATACACTAGAGTAAGTCGAGGATATTTTTCTTTTCAAGGTATGTGAAAAAGGTTTGTGTGACCGCAAAGCTTGGGGTCTACAACACACGTCTTGCGGATTGTTGTTTTGAGAACTGATCAATCTAACGCTAGGCAGAGAAATCCCACACCGCCGGCACCGGAAGATAATGGGGATGAGAGGAATGTGCTGTTTTAGGAGACGATCTTTTCTAACCCCACGCCAGGGCTTCAGTAGCACGTCTCCATTTCACTCTCTTCTCTCCAGTCTCTTCAACCTCACTCCACAACTGCCAACAAGCTTTCATTTCTTCTTCACATGATCTCATCCATGTCACCCTCAAATCGGACGCCCAACTCATCGTCTCCCCTTTGCGTTCCACTCGACGACCTGGCACGTGATATCCCCAATCGGTTTCAGTGTATGCTCAATCCATCTCCACTTTCTTCTTCTGCATATTTCTTGGGTGATGGGTTCTTGATTGATTCACTCCTACCCACAGTTCCTCGTTTCTCATTCTTATTATTCTCATCATCTGATCTTCAGTAACGAGCTAGCGTAGGCAGTTGTTGATGAATGTCTGTAGTTTATTGGAAATCCCCCCTTTGCTTGGGGTGGACAGGAGCATGATTCCGCGCCAGTTCTTGCAAAGACTTAGGTCTCTCTTCTTTGAAAGTTTGACGAGGTAGCCCTTCTTCCAATCAGAAGGTACCTTTCCTCTCTTCTTTGGAAACCTTCTGCAATAGTGGTGCGAGCATGTCCACTGTTGTCTCAGCGTCTGTTTCCAGCACTTCCAGAGGAATTCCATATGGTCCTGCTGCTTTCCCGGAGTTCAGCAACTTCGCGGCATTCAGGACTTCGGCTTTTGCCGGAGGGTTTTTGTTCACCGGTAATTCTGTGACTGGGCTGCTGGTGGTATTTCTGGACGAGTTGCAGGTGGTGATCGATTCAAGAGTTTTTTGAAGTGGTCAGTCCATCATTTTCTTTGTTTCTCCTCTTTGCTGCTAACTAAGTTTCCTTCACTATCTTTCATTGGTTTCATCTGAGTTTATCTCTTCCCGGATAGTAACCTGGTTATTTGATATAGTGTTGTCAGGTCTCTCCTGCAACCTTCAGCCTGTTCTGCTTCACTTGCAAGTGTGTCGTAGAAGTGTCTTTTGTCTTTCCGCGCACTCTTCTTCAGCTTCCATGTGTCCGTCGAGACCCATTCCTTGTCTTGATTCTTTTTCCTCCATAACACGGTCCAGCAGGTTTCCTTCCACGTCTCTTTCAAAGAGTTCCAGTGTTCTTCCACGCAGGTTTCCTCCGGGATGTTGCTTAATGTCTCCCTTTTTTTCTGATGGCTGACGTGAAGATGTACTTTGAAGTTTCATTCTTCAGTTTCTGCTCTGGGTGTTGAACTTGAACTGTGGTCTATCCCCAACTTCTGTGAAAGCTTTCAACTTGATTTGAAAGTAGGTTCTTCGCACTGGATAGTGAGTGGTGTGGACCTACATCTGCTCCTCTTCGTGATCGTATGTCCAGTAGGCTGCGTCTCTACTTTCTTCAGATTGAGATGAAGTTTATCTGATTTTTAGTGTGTCTATCTGGTGAGATCCATGTTACTTTGTGAATGTCCTTGTGTTTGTACACACTGCCTCCAATCACCAAATCGTTGAATGCACAGAAGTCTGCAAACACTTCTCCATTCTCACTCATCATTTCGCCGAGTGCCTCTCGACCTACGGTGGCTTCTCTTCCTGTGTTGTCTGCCCTCAGTTTGGCATTTATATCATCCCACCCATTAGAAGTTTGATGTCACCATCTGTGAAGTCTTTTCTAGTACTGACTGCAGTTGTCTGTAGAATTCCTTCTTCTCCTCTTGATCTGCATTATTTTCAGGTGCATAGCGTAGCACTGTATGATTATAGTTTTCTTTCATACTAATTTGGATATGGCTGTCATGATCCTGGAGGAGATTGGTTCCCATTACCTGAGAGCCTTTGGTGTTCTTCACGATATCATGATACCCACTCCGAAACTCAGTGTGCTACCGCTCGACGTCTGGGTGACAATATCAAAGTAGATTATTGACTCTCCAGTTGACAGTTTAGAAAGTCCTCTTCCATTCAATCTGCTTTCGCAGATTCCTAGCACTTCTATCCTATACCTTCTCATCTACTTTACAATCTGGGCAACCTTGCTAGGTTCATACATCATGCAGACATTCCACGTCCCCATGTTTATTATCGCTTCCATTGAGAGAAGACACATCGGTCAACTGGTTTCCCGAAGGCCTTCACCAACTGACGTCATTTCGTCTCTCTGATTTCAGCGAGGAATAAGTTTGAAGCTTTGAAGCCTCTTTAGCGCTTGGATTGGTTTTACGAAGCAAGGTTGCTAGTCATATTGCTGACCTTCCCTCTTAGTGCAGGCTTATGATCGGCTAGTAACTAGTTTACTAGTTAACTAGGCGAGGTTCCATTTACCCGTACATTAGTGACATTTCATACTGCTACCACCTGAAATTTAGGTTAACAAAAACAGATATAGCTTTTGAACCTTTATGATTAGAAATTGTTTATGCATTAAAAGACCCTGTTATGTACGTAGTAACACGAGCATCGCTATGGTGCTTTCTACGACAGTCGTAGATCGGAGTTGCGCTGTCTTGTAAACTTGAACAAGATTGATTCACGTGTTTCCATAGGTAAACTGTCCCACATCTGGGCATGTTTAATCACGAAGAAGTCCTACCTAGCGACTGTCTTAGTGTTCATTTGCTACTTCTGTTCTTGTCTATCTTGAGTCACAAACAGTTTCATTTATGGACCACATCTTTATGCACGTAATATGTCAGTCTGTTAGGAAGCTTATAAGATCGTATCAAACCCAGTCTGTCCTTGTTTCCACAGTGGCTCAAATCCTAGGATGCTGCATCTGGTGGTATATTTTACATCAGTGTTCGTGTTAAATATTCCCACTATGAAATACCTCTACACTTCTACGACTTTCAGTTTATCCACAATCAGTATTCTGCTATAGATAAACGAGTAGTATTCGAGCAGTGGCCGGACACATGTTTTATGCAGGATGACTCTGGATTTGTCACTGTGGAAGTTTTACAGTGAGAAACCTGCCAGTTTGGAGGATTTCAACACCTGTACGGATATGTGCTCAGATGGTCTGGTCTCAGGCTGTCTGCAGACTGACTGAGACCTGTACTCCCGTTAGTTCAGCATTTACTACTCAACCGTATTAGTTCGTAGGTATCATCCTATCTGTTGTTTCAAACTTCCTGACACCCAGCGTAAGGCCATTGAGGTAAGGCGTTTTACTGAGGCAGTGTTGGACAAGAACGTCTTCCTCTTGAGATTTGTCATTTATTCCTTGCACCGCAGTGCATACACTTTTGTCGAATACAACCTAATGTTTAAGGTTTTTCCTCTAAAGTAGTGTTCTATCATGGGCTATATTAATACCTCAAAACATATTTTCGAGTCTAGCACCAACTTATGACGAAACGAATTGTTTGCATTCAAGGGATGATGTAAATTGGAATAAGATCGAATCTTTCTATCATCCGTCCCCATAGAAATCTACATAGGACCAGAGATTACTATGTAACGGTCCGAGCTACCAAACCTCACATCAGTACATCAAGTAAAAAGGCAGTGAAGTACAAGTTGAAGGCAAAAAACAGCCAAAAGAAATATAAAGTACCAGAAGAAAGAAAGGAAGAATGAGAAGATAGTGAGATTCGGCATAACATCGTTAAGATGAAGATAATGTTTGTATACATCTCCACCAGTTACATCGGTTCTGAGCCATATCACCTAGAGTCTCCAACCTCTGG